CGTAACGCGACCAACTTGGGATCTTCTACCTGAGAAGCGACCTACATGATGACCGAATTTCGGAAGTCACCTGCACTTCATGAGCACCTCCGTGCCCGATTGTCGCTCTGGCGAGACTATCCTCGAAGCGAACCAAACAAGCGTGATCAGTACGACACTGCGAATCCAAAAGTGGATGACGACAGAGCTTCTCGTCACAGAACGACAGAATCCGCTCAATTTCTCGAAGAACACTGCAAACGTGTATTGAAATAACATGGTTGATCTAGCTATTGTATTATGTGCGTCTTTCTCGCTCGCTTGATATTTTTGCTTCGTCCTATCCTTTTCTGTTGGTTTTTCGAGGGCATGCCCCGGGACTAGGCTCTTTACTAAGAACTACCCCATTAGTGAACTTGTTGGCGTACCTACAGAAGTCGTGCCAGCTTCCTTGCACAAAATGCGCGGTTAGGGCGCTAATCGTTAAGGACTTGCAACCATCGCAACCCTCCCACCCACCGCGATTGATGCAGAGATCAGCGCGCTCTCTCATGCGGCGTGCTTCTGGCGTGTTTTGCCTTCTCTGGTCGATCTGTCCATGGCACCACATCCGGCCTTACCTTAGTTCTTCGCAGTTCAGGCCCCGATTAAAGCGTTTTCGATGGGTTTGCTTGCTTTCGTTTCCACTTTCGGTCAATTCCACATCACTATGAAGCACGCCAGTACACCAGGTTTAGCCCGGGGCTTGCCTTTGAAGGGTGTCTTTGAACGGAGGACATGTCAGTCGTCTCTTTTTATTCTTGGCTACAATGAATTCTTTCTTTTTATTCGTATTTCTCTTTCAGAAACTGGGTCCCTCGTTTCTCCTGCATTTATGCGCTCTGAAGAAATCAGCAGGGACATGACGAGAATGGGTAGAGAATCGTAATTAGAGCTCGACCGTAGACAAAGCTTGACCAGAACTATGGGAAAGTAATAAAGAGCACGCCACTTACCTAATGTGGGCAACCTTGATGACATAGAATTCGAGCGGAGACACGGCACTGAGTACCTTGGCGACGAATTTATCGCCTCTCTTGAACAGCTGCGGCGGTGGTAACGTGGCGGATATCGTGCGAATCACCGTTGACCATTCCTGAAATGATTTGAAGTAGAAGCCACGTTATTTTGGTAACGCCCCGTTAAAAGTCTTGAAGAAAACGGGGTAGCGCAAGGTGGACAACTAAACTCCTTTGGCTGCTATGTAGTCCTGAAAACAGTCAAGCCAGGCGGATAATACAGAAATAAACTTGCCTCGCCTAATTCCTTTTCGCTAAGCGGTTGGACGACGTCGAACTCATCTTCAGACTCGTCGTTCATCGACAGCACGTCTTCAAACATCTTCTCCACAGGACTGGTGTTGCCGTTCGAATCCACCGAAGTATAGCTGTGTGACCGCTTTGTCTGGCCACAGTTCACATTTACGCGCTCGAATCGTGTCGACAGCACTTCTGCAGAAAGCAGACATCACTCGAGTTAACCCTGTATTGTGACCTTACCGTATGCATGTGCTTCAAGTTTGCTGAGAGACCGGCGTAGAATAGTGATGCCATTAGTCAGGTCACTCCAATTCTGTTGTGCAGATGGTTTTCCGGCGGCCGAGAACAACAGCGAATGAGAACGAATCACCTGAACTCGCTCCTTGTTATCACGCTGCCTTTGACTGACAGTGGTACATACATATTCCTTTGTCCCAC